GACCTATTAGGAGACCATTTCCATAATCCAGAAGAGAGACAATGATAGATAGACCAGAATGGTAGCTGTGGAACTATGGGGAGAGGTGGTTGGGTTCTGGATCTATTTTGAAGGTAGACCCAAAAGGATTTGTCAACAAATTTGATGTGGAGTATGTGTGAGAGAGAGGAAGAGTGAATGAACATGCAATTAAGGCTGACCCTGAAGATTTTAGGCCTGAGAAATGAAGAATGGAATTGTTATATACTGATGCGGATGGGGAAAATGAGGTTAGACGGGTATATCAGGAGCTCAGTTTGGAATGTGAGGTTTGAAATGCTAATTGGACATCCAGATGGAGATGTCTGGTAAGTTGGATGTACTATATGTACAAGTCTGGAATTTGGGGAGAAGTTTAAAGTGGATGTAAGCTGGAAATTGAGAGTTGTCAGTCTCTAGATGGGATTAAATACACCCATGAGACTGGATGATATCATCAAGGTGGCAAATGTAGATACAAAAGGAAGCTCAAAGATTGAGCCCTGCAGCTCCAACATTTCAAGCATGGGAAGATGAGAACAAGCCATCAAGAGAGACTAGCAGCAGAGAGGTAGAAGGAAAACCAGGACAGTATGGTTTCTGGAAGCAAACGAGGGGTTTCAGGATCAGCTGTATGAAATACTGCTGATTGGTCAAGTAGAGTCAAGTCTGCAGGCTGACCTTGGGACTCAGCCTAGTGGAGGCCATTGGTGACCTTGATAAGAGCAGTTTTGCATGGGGCAGTAGGTTAAAGCCTCATTGGAGGATGGGAAGAAAGAGATTGATGACGGCGAGTCTGTACTCTGATGTTTCGCTGAGTAGGTAAGGAGAGAAGTGGTATGGGGTTTGGAGGCGAAATGGGGGGTGGCCAAGAGACATTTTTTTTAAAGCAAGAAGAAATTACAGATGTTGGTATGCCAATGAGAATGATCTAGTAGGAAGAGAAAAACTGGTGATGTAGGAGAGATGGGAGGTGTGCTGGAGAGATGGTCCGTTTAGTGAGAGTGGATGGGGTGCAGTGCAGCCTTTCCACAATGGAAAGGCTGTGTTTGGCCAAGACCACAAATAGTTTACCTACAGCAACAGGGGAGAAAGCAGGGACACATGCAAGTAGGTGGGTGAAAGTAGCATGGAAGCTTGTTGGAGTTATGTGTTTATTTTAATAGGTATTAGGTAAAATAACTAGTGCATCAAACCTGTCATTTCATGGATGGAGAAAAAAATATTGAGGGAAAATAGGTGAGAGGTATGCAAATAAAGCACAAATAAAGATCATACTTCAGTGACTGAATTTTGGAATAGAGGTCATTTTTAAATTTTTTCTGGGGAAGAAATGAAGGTCTGAGCTATGGAATGGCTGTGGAGACAGAAGGAACAGGCATGAATGAAATTCAAGAGGTAGTGTTGAGAAGACTTGGTAAATAGCCATGGGGAGTGACGAGGGGCCCTCTTTTCCAATGTGTAGCTGAGTGAATGCAATTCCCAAACACAGTGATGGGGCATTCTCAAGAAACAGGAGCAGGTCTAGGGCAAAGATTTTCTTCTTTTGAATGCAGAGACAAGAGAAAGATCTGAGGCACAGCAGGATTCCCAAGCCTTCACCAAGAACCAGGGCCCACTGGACATGGTGGCAGGGACCTGATGCCATCCAGTGAGGCAGATGAGGTGGGCCCTGCCCTGGGAGAGCCCCTGCTCTGGAGTGATAAAAGCATTCAGACAGTGCTCCAGGAGGGCTGATGCTGCGGGTGGTGAAAGCTTCCTGAAGAAGGTGACCTTGAAGGTCTATGGGATATTAGCAGATGGAGAGAGCACAGCCTCTGTGGGAGAATGAGTAGGGAGCACGTGGGGTGTGCAGGCAAGGGTGGAAGGCTGGAGCCTGGAATGCTTTCATTATGGTCTGAGTCTTTGGCTTCACCTTGATGGGCAGCACCAGGAAGGTCAATGGAGGTATGTGGTGGTGAAGCTCTGGGGTTAATCTGGAACTGGATCTAGGAGGGGTCTGGAATGGGGCTGGTTGGGGGGAATAGGCCTAGTTTGGGGCAGAGAGACTCCAGCTCCTGTGACTGCCTTCATGGTCTTCCCCCAACCCACAGGCAACAGGACCTGTATCGGATCCTAAAGGCCTATACCATCTACCGGCCTGATGAGGGCTATTGCCAGGCCCAGGCCCCAGTGGCCGCAGTGCTGCTCATGCACATGCCTGCTGAGGTCAGTACACCCTGGGCCTTGTTGGGGAGGGCCTGGGAGGACCTTGGTGTACAGCAGTGATGGGGGCTCTCTACTCCCTGTTTCTCAGGTCCCATCCTTCCCTCCTTGTTTTTGCCCTTCCCAGCAAGCTTTTTGGTGCCTGGTGCAGATCTGTGACAAGTACCTCCCTGGTTACTACAGTGCAGGGCTGGTGAGTGTCTGAAGGCCGGGTGTGCCCAAGGCTGCAGGGAGGTCCCTGTCCTGCCCCACCTGCTGCCCTTTTGTCCCTCTGCTCTGGGCCTCTCCCACTGAGGTGAGGATCCCCTACTTGGGACAGTTCTACCCCAAGGGGGCTCCAGTAGGCCTCTTCTCAAGGCTTATCCCACTTCCAGGAGGCCATTCAGCTGGATGGAGAAATCTTTTTTGCTCTGTTGCGCCGGGCCTCCCCGCTGGCACATCGGCACCTGCGGCGACAGCGCATTGACCCCGTGCTCTACATGACAGAATGGTTCATGTGCATCTTCGCCCGCACCCTGCCCTGGGCATCAGTACTGCGTGTCTGGGATATGTTCTTCTGTGAAGGTACTTCTGTAGCCATTCAGGCCATGAGGGGCCTGGGGTTTCAGTGGCTGCCAAAAGGTATCTCTGGAGCCTAGGCTTCCCTGTAAGCAGTCTGGGGACTGGAGAGATTGGGGCCTAGCCTTGGCTCTGCCATCAGCCTGGAGCCTACTCTCCCTCCCAGGAACTTGAAACCCATGTCAGCTCATTTTCTTTCATGGGGCCTCAGTTTCCTCATCTATGAGGATGGCAGTAGGACAGGGATAGGGCCTATGAGTCCCTTTGAATTGGGGCAAGTTGAAGTCCCATCCCTGATCACCCACACTGTCTTTTCTCTGCCCTTGCAGGCGTCAAGATCATCTTCCGGGTGGCCCTGGTGCTGCTGCGGCACACGCTGGGCTCGGTGGAGAAGCTCCGCTCCTGCCAGGGCATGTATGAGACCATGGAGCAGCTGCGCAACCTGCCCCAGCAGTGCATGCAGGAGGACTTCCTGGTGCATGAGGTAGGCTGTGGCCTGAGCACATCCACACCTGCTTCATCCCATCCCCTTCGTCCTGCTACCCATTTCTTCTCTGTCTAGGTCACCAACCTCCCAGTGACAGAAGCCCTGATTGAGCGAGAGAACACAACCCAGCTCAAGAAGTGGCGGGAAACCCGGGGGGAGTTGCAGTATCGGCCCTCTCGGCGACTACATGGCTCCCGGGCCATCCATGAGGAGCGTCGGCGGCAGCAGCCACCTCTGGGCCCCTCGTCCAGCCTTCTTAGCCTCCCTGGCCTCAAGAGTCGAGGTTCCCGGGCTACGGGGGGGGTCCCCTCTCCACCTCCTCCTGCCCGCAGGGCTAGTGCTGGGCCCACCCCAGGGCCCGTGGTCACTGCTGAGGGACTACATCCATCCCTTCCTTCGCCTACTGGCAACAGCACCCCACTGGCTCCCAGCAAGGAGACTCGAAGGCAAGAGAAAGAGCGGCAGAAACAGGAAAAGGAACGTGAGAAGGAGCGGCAGAAACAGGAGAAAGAACGGGAAAAGCAAGAGAAGGAGCGGCAGAAGTGGGAAAAAGAGCAGGAGAAGGAGCAACAGAAGCAGGAGAAGGAGCGGCAGAAGCAGGAAAAGAAGGCCCAGGGCAGGAAGCTCTCACTGCGTCGAAAGGCAGATGGGCCCCCCACCCCCCAGGATGGTGGGGACAGGTCCTCAGCATCTGAGGCCCGGCAGGATGCTTACTTCTGACCTCTGTTTTGGGGCTGGACTGCATGACCTCCCTCTTTTTTCCTCAGTCCAGAGCAGGCCTGGCCTGGGTTGCTGCCCCAAGCCTCCTGGGCCAGTGGTCACTCTCTCTGGGGAAAGCAGTTGGCTCCCCATCTCCTTTGCCAGCCACTGGTCCCTACACAGCTGGGACAGTGAGAGCGCACTGGGCAGCCGCCTCTCCTTGGGACAGCCTCGAATAAGTCTGGAGCCCCTCACCTCCAGTTAGGTCCAGCTGGGGTCTCTGTCACTCCTGCCCCAATTCCCTCTGGGGTCCTTCCCAGGTGCAGTCCTGATTGGCCTTTAGTCACTTCAGGGGTGACTTGGCGATGGGAATCAGCAGTTTTCAGATTCTTACACTCCAGTTGCTCCCCTTTATCTGTGAGTGGAGCCAGGTTCCTTTTTCCCTGCAGCCCTGCCCATCTCCCCCTCTTCCTGCCTGGGGGCCAAAGCTCTCCTTGCTCTACTTTCGGACATCTCTGCGTTGTAATTATGTACAGAGGACCTGGTGGGTCCAGGGTGGGGGTGTTCGCTCTCTCTTCTGTCCTTTAGTTCTCCTTCCACAATGTTCTTGCACTCATTTATTTAAGGGGACATGCCTTGGAACAGGAAATGCCCCCCCTCCCCACCAACCATCCTCCTTGCTCTCTTTCTTCTTCACCACCTTCCTGTGTATTCTCAGGCCTCTCCTGCTTTGTCTCACCAGGGTCCCCACCTTTTACATTGTTTCCCTCCAGCCCCTATCTGGGGAAGGGGTCTTCCCTTGAGCTCCAGGGGGTGGAACCCAATGTTTACATTCTCTTCTATGTCTGCTCCTATTCTATGCAGCGCTTTGAGGAATCAGAAAAGAACCTGCTGTTGTACCTGGGCCTGTCTCCTGCTTTGTTATTTGATAGAGGGGGTTAGAATAAGGACTGGGCAGGGGGTGGGAAACAGTGGAGCAGGCCAGGATCCAGGCATCTACCGAAGCCATGGGCTGGTCTTGGCACGTGGGTACCTCTTGGCCTTTGGTCCACCTTTCAGTCACTCATCAGCTGCTGAGCTCCTGTTCCTCCTTTGCCTGGGATCTGCTGCCCCCATTGTTAGCCTGGGGCCCTCTACATACCACCTGCAGCACCCGGATCTCCTTCCCAAAGTGCTCATGCAATTCCTGGAAGCTGGAGGGGGTACCGAGGGTGGCAAGAAAGCCACAGTCCTCTGGGGGTGAGCTGGGCTCTTGGCCAGCTGCCTGGCACAGCTCCCGGTACTGGGCCTCCAGAGGGGGTAGTAGCGCCACCAGCCGCCTCCAGCTCGCCCCAGCTAGTGCCCACAGCCAGGCTCCCAGCTCTTCCTGGTTTTCTGCTGCCAATTTGTAGGTACGCCCACCTGTTCCCTCAACCCTAGGGGTCAGGATGGTAAAGGCATAGGGTTCTGTGGCCCCAAGGCGTGGCTCCCCCCGGCAGTTTTCCAAGAGAATGAGGCCCAGGGGTGTGTGGTCCGCCTGGTTCTCCAGGTAGAAGAGGAGGTTTCCCCCGAGGATGAACCAGCGGCGTTGATAGCTGGTATTTCGGGCTCCCTTCTTCAGCAAGATGCCCTCTCGGTCTGGAGCTTTTCTGTATCCACGGAAGAAATTGAGTACGGACTTCTGGTGCAGTTTCATGGTAGTCCAATCTGGGAGTAGACCTTGGGGGCAGGAGAAAGAGCTGGTCCTAGCCTAGTGGGATTTAAGAGTGTCCTCTAGAGTACAGGTCTTGCTCCCTCCCCCCACCACCCCCAGCACTGGGGCCGACAACTCCCACCTACAGTTCTCCCCTTGGGGCTAGTTTACAGACCCTGGGCAGGGGCCGCTGGCCTGGACCCCTATTTGCTTGCGCCTGTAGTTGGAGAGAGGCACTGTTGCCCTTTTCCAGGCCTACCTGAAATCAGGGCACGAGAAACTTCGGGCCTGGGTACTGGACACAGGTACCACCGTCACCTTTCCGTAGACGGCTCTTCCCACCTCTCAAACCAGGAACTCCCCAGGGGATAGGTGTCGGGTAAATGACTTCCCCCGGGTCCTAAAGAGACCTGTGTTCGGCAAGTGCCCCGGAACCACCCCGGGCCTCCAGGCTGGCCGTCAGAACCGGGTCTTGCCTCGGGGAAAAGAGCAGGGCCGCACCTCGGGGTAGGAGTGGACTGGACACTGAGTGGAAAGGAAGGGTTTCCAAGAAGATTCTGGTGAGGGGCGCAAAGCCCTTGGGCAACCCTGGGGAAAGTGATTCAACTCTGGAAAGGGAAACGGGCCATTGTCCCACTTTGCTCCTCCATCATGGTCCTGGGCGCCCCTTTAAGTAGAGTGCGCTCTGCTTTCTCCCCAGAGCCTCTGACTGCTGTCGGAGGGAATCGAAACCGCATCCGGCCATCTCTCTCGTCTGATCCGGGCCTAGGCGTTCGAACGTCCCCTGTTCTCGCCATTGTCGCCCCACACTGATCACGTCACTCTGGGTTGGGCAGGGAGGTGTTTCCCGCCTACTGTGTACTTCCGCCCGCTTCTCCACTTAGTCCCCTACCCCGAGTGAAGCCACTTCCGGCCTTCTCCAGCGCCTTCCGCAGTTCCCTTCCGGGTGATGGCGGCCGCTGCCCCGGACGTAGCCGTGGGGAAAGCAGCTCTTTTTCCTTCCCCACCGGCCTCCCGTTGATCTTTAGGTGAGCGCGCGCCGGTGGGGTCCTGGAGTCCTCGCGGTTTTGCCGCCCCTCTGATTTGTACACTTAGCCCGGGACAGTTGGGGGTCACCCCTCGGAGCCGGGAGTTCGGCGCGGGGAAGAGGGGGTCGGCCAGGACGCCAGGTCCTGGGTCCGCCCGGACCCCGCGGGCTCTGAGGGAACTGGGGGTGTTGGAGCGGGTGTCAGCCCTCAGAGCCTCGTCGCACCCAGGACTGCGGGGGCCAGGAATGGGGGGGCATGTGGGGGGGGTCTGTCTCCTTTCGTCAAGGGTGGGGGTTGCCGGTGGGAAGCCCCCCCGCGCGTCCGCCTCTCCGGCCCCGCACCAGCAACTCTTTTGGACCAAACCAAGTTCCCGGGGCCTCCTGGCGGCCGACTTCCCTTTCGGCCCCTGACTCTGCACCCTCTCTTCCCAAGCTGGATCTAGTGCGTACCAGGTGATTATTTGTTGTGCTGGCGGCCCTTCGGCGGTGAGTAGCCTCGCCCAATTCCCTTAATCTGCACCCTTTCCCTCGCTCAGCTTGGCGAAGGCCCCTCTGTGCAGGCATGCCAAAGAGGAAAGTGACCTTCCAAGGCGTAGGAGATGAGGATGATGAGGATGAAATCAGTGTCCCCAAGAAGAAGGTGAGGTGGCCAGACTCCTGTATTCTGGGGAGGAGTGAGGGCAGGGAGAAGGAACTGGAGGCTAGAAGTGAAAGAAAGCTGGTGGGGATAAAGCGGTGAAAGGTCTCGCTTTTTCCATGTTCTCTGGGAAATGGGTTTGGAGAATTTTCAGTCTGAGAAAGCTTTGAAGAAAAACCTTACTAGAGTACTTTGAGGAATAGCCGCAAACCTGCATCTCTCAACCTGCTGGCTCCTCACAGCTGGTGGATCCTGTGGCTGGGGCAGGGGGTCCTGGGAGCCGCTTCAAAGGCAAACACTCTTTGGACAGCGATGAGGAGGATGATGATGATGAGGGGTCCAGCAAATACGACATCCTGGCCTCAGAGGATGTGGAAGGTGAGCTAAACCCAAGAATTGTTGCTGCTGGAGGAACAGATGGGGTTTCACGGGATATGGGGCGGAGAAGGCTCTTGTCTGTTTTTGCTTGCTCAGCCTGGGCCACCTGTGTCTTTGGTGCAGGTCAGGAAGCAGCCACACTCCCCAGTGAGGGAGGTGTGCGGATCACACCTTTCAACCTGCAGGAAGAGATGGAGGAAGGCCACTTTGATGCTGATGGCAATTACTTTCTGAACCGGGATGCTCAGATCCGAGATAGCTGGCTGGACAACATTGACTGGGTGTGCCCAGGGGTTGACTTTGGCTGGGGACCTGGAGGCAGAAAGTGCTGGGCTTGTGCCTTGCTCACGGTTTGTAAGAGATAACCCAACCCCCCCCCCCCCCCCGTTTTCATATCACAGGTGAAGATCAAGGAGCGGCCACCTGATCAGCGCCCACCTTCAGACTCAGAGGAAGAAGACAGCCTGGGCCAGACACCAATGAGTGCCCAAGCCCTCCTGGAGGGCCTTCTGGAGCTGCTGTTACCCAGAGAGACAGTGGCTGGGGCACTGAGGCGTCTGGGGGCCCGAGGAGGAGGAGGAGGTGGCAAAGGGGGCAGCAAGGGGGCTGGGCGGCCTAGTTCCCCTCAGCGCTTGGATCGGCTCTCTGGGTTGGCTGACCAGATGGTGGCCCGGGGCAACCTCGGTGTATATCAGGAGACAAGGGAACGGTTAGCCATGCGGCTGAAGGGGTTGGGGTCCCGGACTCAGGGACCCCCTGACCCCACACCCCCACCCTCTCTGGACATGTTTGCTGAGGAAGTGGCAGAGGGGGAGCTGGAGACCCCAACCCACACACAGAGGGGAGGTAAGATCAGAAGGCAGAGGAGGGCTGTTGGGGCAGGAGGCAGGGCACTTGAGGGCCAGATGGCTTTGCCTGTTGTTTTAGAAGCAGAATTGAAAGGAGATGATGGTCTGGTGGACGTGATGTGGGAATATAAGTGGGAGAACACAGGGGATGCTGAGCTGTATGGGCCCTTCACCAGCACCCAGATGCAGGTAAGCCCCTTCCTGCTTCTACCACTACCCCCCTTCCCCTCCCCCATGAGTCTTTCCCCAGCTCTGCTTTCCTTTCCTGCAGACCTGGGTGAACGAAGGCTACTTCGCAGATGGTGTTTATTGCCGGAAGCTGGACCCTCCCGGTGGACAGTTCTACAACTCCAAACGCATTGACTTTGACCTCTACACCTGAGTCTGCTGAGGGCCCAGTTTGGTGGTCCCTTCTTTCCTTGACTCTGGAGGAGGCCCCAGCTGTCTCAGGCAGTGAGGATTTTGGGGGCCACCTTTTAGTCCATTTTCCTTTCCCAATAAAAGCCTTTAGTTGTATGTTAGGGCCTTGGCTGTGCTGATGGCCAGGAGCTAAGGTGCTTCATAGCCCCTTTGGACTTGCCTCATGAAGTTCTTCTTGGGAGTGTTTGGTCACTTGAGCCACCTCACCTTTGTTTACCATTCCCAAGGTAGAGCCAGGGCTCCCAGGTGGCCTGTGGCCTTCCCACCTGGATTCTGCTCACCATCTCAAAAATCCCTTTGCTCACCTGCTGTTCTCCAGTACCCTCAGAGCAGGGTTCCTGTTTTGTTCTTCTGCAGTCCTCAGTTTTTAGAACTTTAGAGTCTCCAGCCAGTATAAGATGGAGCTTCAGAAGTAGAAATTTTTAGGCTTCAAAGGGCTGAGACATCTGCTGGGGGTGAGTGGGAAGCCTGGTACCCACTGCCCCCCCCCTCCCCTCGGGATCTCCAGCTCCTCAGGCGAAGTGTGAACTCGAGGCCACCTGGGCCAACCATTGAACAGAGAGGGGCAGTGTCTCCCTGGAGCTCACACAGCAATCTGAGCATGCCTTGACCCCATGGGTTTCTTGCCCAGACCTTTCTTGGCACCTTTGAGGCTCTGAAGCTTCCATTCCCTGGGCTCTCATGGTGTGCCTGGTATGAGGCTAGTGCTTTGAAGGAACTCTCGATAACTAGGGGGCTGATCCACTTCCAGGAATTCAGATTCTGAAGAGTGGGGTTGGGAAGGAGACAGGTATCATTGAACCTGGACCTCCCACCTCTAACCAGTTTTGCCTTATGCCTCTTCTCTCGTGCACCAGGTTAGGGGGAGTCCTCCACATTTCTACCTCGACTGTCCATTGGTGTCTCAGCAGGGCTGTAAAATTACTCCTCACGTTCTGAATGATCTAGGTAGTGGCTTGGTGGTTGGGACTTTGAAAAGCTTCCAGGTGATTCCAATGTGTGGACGAGTGGAAAACCATCGGGTGGGACTCCTGTGATTGGGTTCCACCTCAAGCGAGGAGCCTCTTCCCAAATCCTGTGGTGGTGGCAGAGGTGAACAGGTGTGGCCAGGGCTCCGCTGGAGTCTGTTACAGGACTGCCGAGCACCAGAGCCCCAGGTAGAAGGAACCAGACTGGGAAGTAGGAAAGACGAGGACGGTGGGGATACTTGGTACTCCAGCAAGGTCTCCAACTTCTGTGATAATTAGGTCTGTGCTAGTGCCAGTCCAGACTTGGGTTTCACCGACTCCAAGATCCCTTCAGTTGTAAGAACTCTTTATGTGTCATTGAGGAAGAAAATCCTGCCAATTACATTTACGAGATGTCAATGATTAAAAGGTGCATCCTGATTTCAGAAACAAGAAAGGAAAAGCAGTACAGCTGCCACCTTTATAACCCCAATGACTGGCTTGTGGGAGGGGCTTAGTGTTTGGTGAATAGGTAGCAGTTCCTTGAGACTGCCACCAGCACCTGGGGGCTCCACCTGGCCAGAACGGACTCCCATCTTCCCCTCACAGCGTCCTCCTGGGTTCACCCTTTTTCTTTTAAAGATTTAATTTATTCATGAGAGACACACAGAGAGAGGCAGAGATAAGGCAGAGGGAGAAACAGACTCCACACAGGGAGCCCGATGTGGGACTCGATCCCGGGACTCTGGGATCATGTCCCGGGCCAAAGGCAGGCGCTAAACCGCTGAGCCACCCAGGGATTCCCCCCCTCCTTTTTTTATTTTGAGAGATTGAGAGGTGGGAAGGAGCAGAGGGAGAGAGAATTTTTTTTTTTTAAGATTTTCTTTATTGGGACCCCAGGGTGGCTTGTCTGCCTTCAGCTCAAATCATGACCCAGGAATCCTGGGATTGAATTCCACATTGGGCTCACCACAGGGAGCCTGCTTCTCCCTCTGCCTGTCTCTACCTCTCTCTGTGTCGCTCATGAATAAATAAATAAAACCTTTAAGAAAAAATATTTATTCATGAGAGGCAGAGACATAGAGGGAGAAGCAGGCTCCCTGCAGAAAGCCTGACAGGATTGTATCCCAGCACCCCAGGATCACAACCTGAGCTGAAGGCGGACTCAACCACTGAGCCAGCCAGGTGCCCAGAGGGAGAGCCTGATACAGAGCCTGATGTGGGGCTTGGTCTCGCCACCCTGAGCTCACGGCCTGAGCTGAAATGAAGAGTTGGACACGGAACTCATTGAGCCACACAGGTTCCCAATCTCCTTGATGATACACTGTAGGCAGAATAATGACCCCCCCCCCAAATATGGCATCCCCTTAACAGAATCCGTGAAGATGGGACCTTAAGAAGCAAAAGAGATTTTAAAGAAGTGATTAAATCAGTGACTGAATTGGGGGGGGGGGGTTATTCTGGATTATTGAGGTATGTGGGCCCAGTGTCATCAAAAGTGTCCTGCAATGTCAAAGGGTTAAGTCAGGAGGGTCAAAGGAGGTGAAGGTGTTAAACATGGCTGCTGGCTTTGAAGATGGAAGACAGGGCCATATCCCAAGGAATGCAGTGGTCTGTGGAAGCTGGAAAGGCAAGAGCCACTACAAAGGGCAGCCCTACTGAGGGTTTGAACCCAGTGAAAACCATTGTGGACTTCTGACTTCTAGGATCCTACCTAATAAAGTTGTGTCTTAAGCCACTAAGCTTGTGGTTATTTGTTGCAGCCCTAGCAGGAGACTAACACCCCATCTGAGTGATTGCCTCTTCCCTCCCACAAACATCCCTAAGTTTTCTCCCTGTGGCCTTTCCCTATTACAAGCTCCTATCAGCACTTAACTCCCTGGCTCTTCTTAAAAGTGTATACACACACACACACACACACACACACACACACACACACACCCATCAGCAGTCCCCCTTTCCTTCCCACCCTCCTCATCCTCCAGCACCTGGCAACCAGTAATCTTCCTCTTTCTCTGTAGAGTAGCCTATCCAGGCGATTTGATACAAATGGACTCATAAAGATGTGGTCTTTGTGTCTCCTGTGTCTATTTCTACTTAGCCAGTTTTCGAAATTCATCCATGTAATGCGTAACACAGTACATTATACTTTTTAAATTTTTTGTTATGCATTTTTATGGTTGAACAATATTCCACCATATGGATGTATGCTCTATTACCATTAACTAAACCTTGCACTTTCTTTGGCTTTTACTCATTTTTCCCTAATGTTCCTAATCTGTTCCAGAACCTCTTCTGGGATACCCGTTTGCATACAATTGTCATGTTTCCCTAACCTCTGGTCTGACGGTTTCTCAGACTTGTTTTTGCTGACTTTGACAGTTTTGAGGCGTACTGGTTAGGTATTTTATAAAATATTCCTCTAATTTGGGTTTTTTCTGTCTGGTATTTTTCTCATGCCTAGATTTGGGCTATGGGTTTTGGGGAGGAAGACCATGGAGGTGAAGTGCCTTCCCTTTTACTGAAAATGAAAACTCTTAATGGCTCCATTTCCCTCAAGATAAATTTCAACAGCTTGAAGCTGACTGAGAGGATCTTCCATGTCCTGACTCGAGCCAGCCCCTCCAGCTCCACAACTGCCTTTGCTTCCCTACTTCCTTCTCTCCCACAACCTTCTCCCAGGACAGGGCAATTTCATTTCACCAGGCCTGGCCCAGTGATGCATTTCTCTCTCCTCTATATGGGAAAGACCAGTTAATATATGTGTGTTGTACTAGACCCAAAGTCTCCTTTCCCTACAAAGCTTCCTAACCCACTCCCCATGCCCCAGGTTGGTCAGCGTTTTTTCCAGTGTGCCCAGCAGCAAAGAGGTCTGATGTCACACCCAGGGCAGTTTTTCCCTGCCTGTCTGTCTCCACCAAATTTTTTTTTTTAAGATTTTATTTATTTATTTATTTATTTATTTATTTATTTATTTATTTATTTATTTATTTATTTATGAGAGACACAGAGAGAGGGAGGCAGAGACATAGGCAGAGGGAGAAGCAGGCTCCATGCAGGGAACCTGATGTGGGACTCGATCCCGAGACTCCAGGATCACACCCTTGGCCGAAGGCAGGCACTAAACTGCTGAGCCACCCAAGGATCCCCTGTCTCCACCAATTAGGGTGAGACTGGGAATCAGTGCTGATGAATGAATAGGGAATGAGCCAAGTCTTTCCTGGTCCTGTGTGGGACAGTCCCCTCTCGAGCAAGACCAGAAATTAGGGGCTGGTGGTGCTGTTTGTTGCCTTTAAAGGGGTGAGGCATCACCTGACAGTGTACAGGTGTCTAGATCCAAGAGTCTCTCAGGGAGTGGGGCTGAGGGGTCAGTAGAGTCGTTCTTACTGGGGTGTCCCTGGGCAAATATACAGGGGGGCTCAAGTTCAAAGCTGCAGATGTCATCACTGTATCCAGGACATGAGAACCTCTGAAATGCAGCCTTTTGCCTTTGGTAGGCCATTTTCCAGAAGACTAGCAGGAGTGGGATAAGGTGAATCTGGGCTTAGGGTGTCACACTCTGCCCTGAGTGTCTGTCAGGTCTTGGGGGAGACGGAGACCATAGAGGATGGCAAAAAGAAGTTAAAATAAGTCAAAAGCCAGTTTCACTAAGCCCATGGAGTTTAGGTGGGCTTTTAATGTCTTTGATATGTCTATCACCCCTTCCAGACCCACCTGGCTGTTTTGATACCTCCTTGCAGGCAGGGTCACCAAATGCTGGCCTCCCAGGCAGTGGGGAGGCCCGGGACTGAGCAGCTTGCCTTCCATCTGCTCCCAGCCAGAACCAAGCTGAAGCCCTGGAAATGCCCATCCCTTCCTGACACTCACACCCCAGAGGAATGTCTTTCAAGGGTGGGTTTGGAAGCAAATGTTTTGCACGAGGCCCAAGGGTACATGATGTTTCTTCAGATCAGTAGCCGCTTCTGAACTGCACGTGGAAGCCAGGCTTGCCCCTTGGTCCTGTTTGGCTATCATCCCGGTTCAAGGGTATGCTTTCTGTGATTGGTTCAGCAGCCCCCAGACTGCTTTAGCTCCCTCCAAGGGGCCAGCCCAGTGCACATCTCCCTCTGGCCTAGCCTGGCCCAGCCTGCCTTGTAGGTAAGACCCCAC